GCTTCGGCTAGCAATGGGTAGAACATCTAAGGACTTTAGGAAGCTACTATGATTAAATACAATCATACATAAACATTAGTAATTAGTAACATATATCGTGTATAACTAGTAGCTGAATACACTGTAGCGACCACGGGTACGACGGCGCGACATCGCCGGTTGGTGGATGCGGGCAAGCTTCATTGCCTTACATTTTTGTAATAGGATACTGCCCAAGTTCGCAGGATACTGTTTGTGTTCAACATTTTCTGTTATAATTCTGTTCATGTAATGATAGGCATAGCCCAAAGACATAACGATGTCTGCATCCTACGTAACATCGCTAGATGTGCCGGATATTATTTGTATTTATCATTTTCTGTATATAGTTCGGTTCATATTAATATAGTTAATCATAGGTATAACTATATATGTATATATTCTCTGGTGCTTAGGCTGTGAGGTTTGCGTTCAGGGTGTAGGGCTTCGGGCCTTGGGTTCAAGCATATTTCGGGCCTTCGGGTTTGTTTGTCTTGAGTTTGGGGCTTTCGCTGTTTAAGGGTTTACTGCTTCGGCGTGTAGGTTTTATGTTCCAAGGTTCAGGGCTCGAAAATAATGTGAGCTTCAGGCTTACATTCAAATGTTCGGCGTCCGGTTGCATTCCGACGGACTAAAATGATCCTTGAACGTACGGGTCGCAATCCTCAGATATAGTGTGTATAGTGTGTCCCCACATGGCATTCGACCAAAAACCCTCCCGCGGTACATGTTCTTCATAAGGTTGAGTCCCGCAGGAAAGTGAAATATAAACCCTAAACCCTAAACCCTATCAGATATAGGCCCTGATTATCACGAAATGATCAGAACCCTACATTACAACCGTACTGAAGACCCGAGAGCAGCCCAGGGGCAAACCACCAAACCCAAACATGCCTTAGCCCTTGACCCCCACTGACAGACACCTAAACCCTAAACCCTAAACCCTAAACCCCTCTTACATACACCTTTCTAAGCTTGGGATTTGGGAGTTTCCGGAAATGGGGGTACCTTATTTTGGGGGGTCCTTATAATAAGGGTCCTACTATTTAGGGTGCTATATTAGGGTCCCCGATTTTCGGAAGACCCCCATTTAGGGTGTAGGGTTTAGGGCCCTAGATCAAAACTGCACCCCGTGCCTCGCTCTGCAACTCCCCTCCAAATGCCTCCAGATGAAGCTCTCTAAACCCTAAAAACCCTAAACCCCTAAACCTTAAACCTTAAACCCTAAACTCCTCAACCTTAAACCCCTCAACCCTCAACCC